CTTGACTTTCTTTATTTTTACCGTTTTCTGGGCCCAAGCTTTGCTAGGCTCTTTTAGAGCTTTATAAAACTTTGAGAACCGCTATTTTAGGAAATTATGGATGACATATGTATGTATCTACGCAAATGCTTAGACTGTGGAAAAGAATATTTTCGCATATGTTTGCGTGGCTCCCCACTATGCCAGAGTCTCTGTTATATTACGGTTCTCTTTTTTGGAGTTTGATTTTTCCTCGACAAAGTAGACCAGAGTCTGAAAAATAATAATTAATTTTTTTTTTGACTAGGTATGCGTGTCTTACTGAACAATTTATAAAACTACTGTCTATCTAATTGTTATATTTATTTTCATTTTCCGATTTGTATAAGCATTTTTCTCGTCATTTTTCAGTTCTTTGACTTCCAACTGCTCGAGTGTAATTAAATTCATAGGCATCTTTCTTGGCATCCTGTACGAAGTGGCATTTTTTTCTTTGCAGAAACAGCTCTAGGCTGCAAAATGAGAAATAGATGTGACATCTTAGTGCGACTGTAATTCGAACCTACTTGGATTCTAATACATCACCATGCTGGAAAGATAACAGGAGAAATCTTTTTACACATTTTCTAACAAGCGATAGAACTTGTTTATCTACTGACTGACTAAATAATACACGAAGATGACAAGATATCTACTGATACTGAAGAGCAAACAGAGCAGAAACAAAAAGATAGATAGTAATGACACAGTGCAAGGCTATCTAATTAGACCCTGGCAAGGCAGTAAAAAAAGTAAGCAGGCGAAGGACGGCTTGTGAATATCATAATCGAGAAAAATAGTAGTCTGTCTTTTCCAGACACTCACTGTGCGAGGAAAGAAGTCTTTTGAAACATTGTGGAATCATTGATGAATACAAAAGAAATTGAAAGTATAGATGCTCATAGCACAGCTAGGAATAAACCGTTTTTAATGTATGCAATAACTTAACTACCGTTCTCTTTGAGGGTGTGGACGTGGGGTGTGGTTGTAGGTATGTGCGGGTGTGGTAGAGTGTGGGTATGAATTGAGAGAACACCCACACCCACACCCATACCCCACTTCCAAACAGGTCTTCTATTTATGTTCAGTTATCAATCGTTTTTTCCATGACAATCATTTCGAAGCTATAAAAATGTGAAGTCTCTCAGCTAGATAGCTTTGGATAGCTACGTTCTGCATGGCAAAATCCTTTCAGTAGAGGGTCGGCGACGCTAACGTCGCGTTACCTTGTAAATATATTCCCAATGAACATAATAAAACTCGAAAACCACTTTAATAAGATTGTGATTGATGATACTTACATTATGTCAGCCTTACTCACATACCGTCACGATGGCATTCCTCACACTGAAGAAACGTGAATGTAGCAGTATTTCCCAAAGAGGAGTTCGAATGTAAATGCAATTTTCGTATTCGCATATGGCACCAGTATTCAAAAGCAAACAATAAATAGTTTTTCCCTTATAATTTTCATTCAAATAACGACTATTCTATCGAAATAGCAAAGAAACCAAAGACTAATTTTATTTTGAAGATTGATTCGAATTAGAACTAGAACTGTACAGAACATGACACTGCTAAAGTTCTGAATTGCAAGTAGGTATCTCTTAAAATATTGCAATACCAAATCGGTAACAGCTTGCATGGGTTTCTATATGAAATTTGAATGATAATCGAAGTGAAACTTTTGCTTGCTTGCTATATTTATATGAAAAGTACTTTTTGCACTGTTTCATTCCTATATGTATTGAGAAAAAGTATATATATAGATAAGCTTTTTCTGAGTATAAAGAATAACATTGTTTCTATAAAGGGAGTTTTCTGTCTTTCTAACCACCATTTTTAACCATATAACTGTTAATGGAAAAACAGTACAAAAAACACAAAACAGATGGAAAAAACAACATTAACATGAAACACGAAAAACTCACATATATAGTTATATGATATCATGAAAATCTTAATGTTCTAAATTCCAAATTTTAAAAAACTATATATATTATATAACGGAATATCAATATTATAAGTATTAATATCGAAAACACATACATATATAATATCATGAAAATAATAACATCATGATCAATATGAATTATATGTAATTAATAAAAACCTGAAATAATTTAAACAATGTGAAAACATTAATCATTATGTAACAGTACATAATAACATTGTAACACACTAAAAACTAACTGGATAATTATAATCACGAAGTAATTCATTTTCAAATAAGTATGATATAACTGTACATGTATTCGTTTTTTCGTATTAATGTTGTTTTTCCATAAGATTTCGTGTTCTTTGTTCTGTTCTTTTCATCAACAGTTACATGCTTCAAAATGGTCGTTAGAAAGACCAAAAATCCCCTTTATATAAACAAAATATTCATTATACTGAAAGAAAAACTTAACTAAATATATACTTTCTCTCAATATATATATGACGTAAAAAACTCAAGATATCTATATTATGTTTCATCCCGTTTTTGGAATTCATAATACGTACTTGAATATACAATTATATTCGAACTACCATTAAAGAACTCGTAATTACTTCAGTAACCATGAGGTACAATACATATCACTCAGACTTAAGCACAATGAGAGTAGATGTTTTTTACTTGAAGAACTTGTGAATGATGAGCAGTCTATTGGACCAGCAGAAACCGTTGTTCGATTGTTGCTTCTAACAATATTGAATTTGTCTTTCTTTTTCTTCTACTCTCATTATCAGAAAGTCAGTCTTATGCATAAGAAAAAAAAACTGACAATGTCTTTATTTGTTTCGTTCTCGATAGAAAGAGAACATAGTTGTTTCGAGATACTGAAAGACAAATAAACGCTGAATGAGATAAGATATCCAACGCACTGACACTCAAGTGACTATTGTGTACATGATAAGCAAACGAAAGTTGGAAAGAATAATCCTAAAATAAATGGCATTGTTGGATTTTTTTCTATCTTTTGTTGCTGACAACTATACTTTTGATTGCAACTAGATGAAGTTTGACCGTGAGTGTCAATGAATGTGGGTGTGGGGTGTGATTGTGACTTATTCTTCTTTAATCACCCACACCCACACGTACACCTCAGTTTCTATCCTTGTATCGTTCTTGTTGCTATCTTATTGCTATCATATTATTTAATGGTTCTGAATTTCTTCTTATCTTGCATTGTCAACCTTGTTTCATGAGGACAATGAAAGTTCATGTAAAAAGGCAAACAAAAAGTTGGGGAGAATAATAATAAGATAAACCAGGCGGACTTTATCTTTAATGAGAAAAAATACCCACATGTGACATCATAGGGATATCTAGAACGAATAACAGCGGGCACTGAATGTATAAATAGAAAAGTTCATCTCTGTGAAAACCACAATCTAGTATTCACGATACTCAATTATCAAGACAACGAGAAGTTATATCAAATATGGGTGGAAAAAACTCCAAAGAAATGATTTCCAAATCAACAACGGGTGCCACTGGAAGTACAGGAGCTTCATCGACAGCCATGCTGCCAAGCAAGCGCATTACTGGAAACTATTTGGTCATCTGGGCTGATGGTAACATTAATTTGGCAAATGAAGATTGCCAACACACGCTTACACAATTGCGTGATGTTGTCAATCAAGTCAACACCTGCACAACGGCTGAGGAATGTATCCAAAGCCTCCAAGAAAACAGCGAGGAGATATCATTCGTGATCTCCTCCGGTGCACTGGGACAACACCTTGTCCCAGATATTCATGGCATGCCAAGATTGGATGCCATATACATCTTCTGTGGCAATAAACAACGCCACGAAGCTTGGGCCGGAAATTGGACAAAAATCAAGGGTGTTCACACCTCAATCAAGTCCATCTGCAAGAAACTGGAAGTGGCCGTCAAGCAATGCAATCAAGATCAAGTCACAGTCAGTATCATCAGCACAAATGAAGGCGGTTCTAGCAAAGATCTTAATCAGCTAGAACCATCTTTTATGTACACGCAAATATTCAAGGAAATACTCCTTGACATGGCACATGGCCAAGAAGCCATTAAAGATTTAGTGACGTTTTGTCAAGAACAATACCATGACAATAAGAAAGAACTTAAAATTATTGAAGAATTTCGACGTACTTATAATCCAACAGCAGCTCTATGGTGGTATACAAGGCAGTGCTTCACATACAACATGCTCAATCGAGCTCTGCGAACTCTGGATGGGGACATCATCATCCGCATGGGTTTCTTCCTGTGCGATGTACACCGCCAAATTGAACAATTACACAGTAAACAGGTCAGTGGATACCACGGGAAGGTTTTTACAGTCTTTCGGGGTCAAGGACTACCCAAAACAAACTTAGAAAAGCTCGCCAACAGCAAAGGCGGGCTTGTTTCTTTTAATAATTTCTTATCCACCAGTAAAGTTCGAGAGGTCTCACTCGGCTTCGCCAAAGACGCCTTGGGAACAATCGATTTGGTCGGAGTTCTCTTCATAATGACCATCGATCCTACAGTGTCATCAACTCCATTCGCCTCCATCCGGGAGGTTAGCTACTTCAAGGCAGAAGAGGAAATTCTCTTCTCCATGCACACAGTCTTTCGAATTGGCGACGTTCGAAAAATCGACAATAAAAATCCACTTTATGAAGTGGACCTTAAACTTACGTCCGATGACGACGAACAACTTCGTCAATTAACTGATTATATACGAGGCGAGGTCGACGGCAGCGGATGGTATCGAATGGGTCAACTGCTGCTCAAAATAGGACAATTCGACAAGGCCGAAGAACTGTATACGGCACTACTTGAACAGGCATCTGACGATAGTGCTAGATCATTTATCTATCACCAGCTCGGATGGTTGAAAATCGATCAAGGACAATACACAGAAGCGGCTTCGTTTTACGAAAAGTCCCTCGAGATCCAACGAAAAACTCTTCCCGAAGATCATTCTTCACTGGCTCCTACGTACAGTAACATCGGTCAAGTGTATAACAACATGGGTGACTACTCGAAAGCACTTGAATTTTACGAAAAGACACTGGAAATCGACAAGAAAACTCTGCCTCCAAATCATCCCTCATTGGCTACTTCATACAACAACATCGGTGCAGTGTATAGCGCCATGGGTGACTACTCGAAAGCACTTGAATTTTACGAAAAATCACATAAAATCTATGAAACAGCTCTGCCTCCGAATCATCCCAATTTGGCTACTTCTTACAGCAACATCGGTGGAGTGTATAAATACATGGGTCACTACTCGAAAGCACTTGAATTTTACGAAAAAGATCTCGAAATCACAAAAATAGCTCTGCCTCCAAATCATCCCTCATTGGGTACTTCATACAGTAAAATCGGTCAAGTGTATAACGACATGGGTGACTACTCGAAAGCACTTGAATTTTACGAAAAATCACATAAAATACGAGAAATAGCTCTGCCTCCAAATCATCCCGATTTGGCTACTTCATACAACAACATCGGTGGAGTGTATGACGACATGGGTGACTACTCGAAAGCACTTGAATTTTACCAAAAAGATCTCGAAATCACAAAAATAGCTCTTCCTCCAAATCATCCCGATTTGGCTACTTCATACAACAACATCGGTTTAGTGTATTCCGCCATGGGTGACTACTCGAAAGCACTTGAATTTTACGAAAAATCACATAAAATACGAGAAATAGCTCTGCCTCCAAATCATCCCAATTTGGCTACTTCATACAATAACATCGGTGGAGTGTATTACCACATGGGTGACTACTCGAAAGCACTTGAATTTTACGAAAAATCACATAAAATCTACGAAACAGCTCTGCCTCCGAATCATCCCAATTTGGCTACTTCATACAACAACATCGGTGGAGTGTATAACAACATGGGTGACTACTCGAAAGCACTTGAATTTTACGAAAAATCACATAAAATACGAGAAATAGCTCTGCCTCCAAATCATCCCTCATTGGCTACTTCATACAACAACATCGGTGCAGTGTATTACCACATGGGTGACTACTCGAAAGCACTTGAATTTTACGAAAAATCACATAAAATCTACGAAACAGCTCTGCCTCCAAATCATCCCTCATTGGCTACTTCATACGGCAACATCGGTCAAGTGTATAACTCCATGGGTGACTACTCGAAAGCACTTGAATTTTACGAAAAATCAATTTAAATCAAAGAAATAGCTCTGCCTCCAAATCATCCCGATTTGGCTATGTCATATTGGCACTTTGGCTCAGTGTATGAAAAAATGGTTGACAATCGAAAGG